GCCATAGAGGTAGACTTCCAGAAGTAGCAATGAAGCTAATTCGACGAGACAAAAAAACAAAAAAATTTATCAAAACAATCAAAGTTGTAACTACTTAGTTACATAATCTCTTCTCTACACCGTGTTATGGACGATAACGACCATTGCCTATATTGGCTATATTTATTCTAATTTCTAACCAGTAGATGGCAATCCTGCACCGACTTGCCACTTGGTATCGTGTCTTTGGCACCTAATTTTAAATTTTACTAATTTGTACTTTTGTAGTCAGTGACTCAGTAGTCAGTGGCTCAGTCGTCTTTTGGTGGTTATACATTTTAAGTTGGGTTCACACAACTTACTATATGCCTACATCATATGCTATGTGTCGTTTCTAAAATTTTAGTTCGACCCAACTTAAGTAATTTACCAGYARATCACGGTTAGTGGATGATACCTTGATTACAACATTGAAAGTACAATAAAAGGCACACAACTGAAGACGACCCAAKACGTAGTGCTATGAACCTGACTTTTACTGTCGATACCTGAAGTTGAATGATATTGAATCACAGAATCAATAGTGGTGAGGTGGGCTTCACTACTCACCTCTGGAGTCTGGGAAAATCTGATGATTGATTTAGATGGACTACTAACATTTAGTTTGATTTCATAATAACCTGACATATGTATTCAAAGAATTAAGAGTAAGTCATAAGTAATTTTTCTAAAAAAAACAGCCCAACTGGGTGCATAGATAATATATTTAAATTTAAATTTGATAATAGGTTAATTTAAACAGCAGAGTGACAATAAAAAAATAACGCAATATTGTTATATTATGATTAAGAGTACTGTTTTTTATGTCAATAAAGGGTCAAATTACTATTACAGTAGAATCTGCTTACAATGATCTCCAAGGGACTCAACTCGGATAATTAAATATTGGCATAATTCTAGTTTAGCAGCCTATCGATTTTTTAAATTTTATTTTTTTCAAAATGTGTTTTACGGTGCTTTATAAGAATGTAAAAAAAATCCCGCTCAAACTTCACTTTGAAGTTATCGACGAAAAATTTCGAAAACTTCATTTTTTTTATCACGCGCATTTAAAAAAAAAAATACTTACAATTAAATATTTTAAATTTTTTTTAAATGTGTAGTTTTTTGCGTTTATTAAATTGGTAAAATCAAAACTTAAAAAATACCTACTTTTGAAGTTTTCGCACTTCCAAATTGGAAAATACCATTTTCAAAATTCATAATAAATCCTTTCTAAAATTAGCTTAAAATCGGTTTGTTTAATATTTTTATTCTTCACTACGTACAGTTTTTGATGAAAAAGTTTTTAGGGAAATCAAAATTGTGCTATTTAGCTTAGTTTTAGAGTTACAGGTATTAAAAAATCCCTAGTTTATGAAAAAATGTAATACAGGTAAACAGTAATTTATTCTTATCCTCAATAACTTCAAAACAAAGTTTGAGCGGGCTTTTTATTTACATTCTTATAAAGCACCGTAAGAAACACATTTTGGAAAAAAAAATTTTAAAAATCCAAGTTTTATATTATTAGGTTGCTAAACTAGAATCGTTCCCAAATATTCAGATCGTAATATCCGAACTTTAGATTAAAAAAATACACTACACGTGGTACAAACTAACCAAGTACTGAAGTACCTATAGGATCATAGATTTAGGTATA